CAGAATTCCCCAGCCAGCAAATTCTGGGAGTTGAAGTCCACACATCTTAAAGTTGCCAAGCTTGAGGAACACTGGCTATATGGACCAATGAGAGCCAGTTTGGTGTAGGGGTTAATGCACCAGGCTAGAAACCAGGAGACCTGAGTTCGAGTCCTGCCTTAGGCACGAAGCCAGTTGGGGGACTCTGAGCCAGTCGCTGTTTCCCAGCCCCAGGAAGAAGGCAAAATGCTTGTTCCAAAAACGTTGCCCCAACTGCAGGGCCTTGTCCAGGCAGTCGCCAGGCGTCAGCGAAGTTGGAGCTGGCCCAGCTCCTTCCAGATTTGAACCCAGGGCTCCTTGCAAGCCAAGAGATGGATCTGGGCAGTGCAAAACCGGTTGCTCTGCTGGGCCTGGGGCTTTCTGCCCTGGCAGCGGTCTTCGGAGGGGGAGGGGGCTTTGCTCTCCTGCAAACGGTTTTCCTGAGCCTGGGACTCCTGCATTCCAAGCGATGCTCGGCCCCCGAGGCTTCCCGGTGCCCCCGGCGTGGCTTTGCTATGCCCGCGCAGGAAGAAAAGCTGCTGGTGGGGTGGCAAACCCTGGATTTGAGGACCCCTGTCTGAAGCCGAGTGGGGAGGAAGGGGGGAAGGAGGAGGGAGAAACGCAGGACCAGCTGTGCCACAGGGCACCCAGCGCCAGGACGTTCCTCTTTCCCGCAGGGCGGCAACACCCCTGCCTCCTCGCTGTGAAGCGCAAAGGCTTCGTCTTGGGAGGAACCTGCTGGGCTGGAGACCCTCTTCGCTGCCCCTTTGCCCCACTGCCCCTCTGTGTCTCCCCCCCCCGCCGCCCGGGGCATGACCAGGGTGCTGGGTACTCACAGCTCGTTGGCCTCCAGGGAAGTCCGATACCGCTGGCGGTTGGTCACGGCCCGGGGCCGGCTGCAATAGGAGTAGGTGGCAGTGGGCACCCCCGCCTCCTCCCGGCTGACGAGCACCGAAGTGGACGCCATGCTGGCCCGGAGCCGCCGCTGGGTCAGAGAGGCCTGGCTGGCGGGCCAGGGAACAATTCTCCTTGGCAACCGTTGCCACGCGACATGGAGCAGGCTCCTGAGCAACAGTCGCCAAGGTAAACTGAGCCCGGGGCCTGGAGCTGCCCGGGCACCCCTCCCTCCCCTCTCAGCAAACAGACAGCCGAGGGCAAGCGGGCACCGCGGTGGCAGGGCGGGGCTGGTGACGGAGGGACGCCTCACTGGGCAACCATCTTCCGCCAGCAGCCAGACCCCTCTGGCTTTGACTGCCACCTTTTTGGAGCCTCAGGCAGGAAGGGGCTGGGGGGATCTTGGCCCATTGAACAGGAGGCTGCGTGGCTCT